TGCAGGAGTTTGATGCAACTTGTCGGGCCAACTCAAAAAATAGAAAGTAAAATAAACAAATGGCAAATGTTGCTAGATTGTGGAAAAAAAAAAGTTATAAGAAAATAAGACATAGGTTAAAATATAAAATATATATATATATATATTTTTTTACGAGAGATATGGTAATTAGTTAAAACTATTTTTTTAAATATAAATGGTTGACTCATCATTCCCGACATCACGAAACTATGGGTTATTAGGATATGAAACTCTACAAATATCACTATCTGTCCACTTTGAAACTCATGATTTCAACTTTCTAAAAATTCTTTTCTTGTAATGAAATTTTCCAACCCCTTTTCTTTAAACACTAGCACTGTAAAAAAATGTTTACTTCTTCTCAATTTTATCTAATAAAATACTCTGAACAACTAAATATTTAGAAAAGTAAGAATATTGTAGAGTTTAGAATAAATAAGTGATATATCAAAGAGTTTGAGACAGTCTTTTTACTAAGATATCTTATATAGATGTCACTTAATTGTTAGATAAATATCTAACTTTAATTTTCATAATTCTTAATTTTTAAATCAATTTCATTTTAGTTTAAGGGGGGGTTTAAATTTAGTTCTTTATTTTTTTATATTAGTTTATATATCAATTTTTTTTTGTAGTACTCGTTGTTGATTGAATTTAAATATTTATTGTTAATATTATTGATTCATTTCTGCACGCCGTTTGCATTTTAAAAATTATTGATCATTAACTCATTCTACAAACCATCACGAAAGGTATGGGTTAGAAGGGATATGAAACTCTATAAATATCAGCAAGTAATCATGTCAAAAAATTCAACAATAATCTATAACCATACAACAATTATTTCCCTCACTAAAATCGCCTCTACAAACCATCATGAAAGGTATAGGTTAGAAAGGATATGGAACTCTATAAATATCAGCAAGTAATCATGTCAAAAAATTTAACAATAATTCATAACCATACAACAATTATTTTCCCTCACTAAAGTCGCCTATCTTCCCTCTTTAAAACTCATGATTTCAACATTTTAAAAAGCCTTTTCTTATAATCAAGTTTATCAATCCCTTTTCTTTAAACTCTTTATTGTAAAAAAATGTTTGCTTCTTCTCAATTTTGTCTAAGAAAATACTCTGTATAACTAAATATTTATAAAAAATAGTAGTATTGTAAAGTTTAGAATGAATAAATGATCTATCAAAGAGTTTGAGACAGTCTTTTTATTAAGATATTTTGAACTAAATATTTATAAAAATAATGATATTGTAGAGTTTAGAATGAATAAGTAATTAAGTAAATAGTTTGAGACAGTTTTTTTACTAAGATATTTTGAAATAAATATTTATAAATATAGTGATATTGTAGGGTTTATCATGAGTAAGTAATTTATTAAAGATTTCAAGACAATCTTTTTGCAAAGATATTTTGTCTATAAGTCACTTAATTGTTAGATAAATATTTCATTTTAATTTCCTAATTTCTTAATTTTTAAATCACTTTCATTTCAGTATAATAGGGGGGTTAATTTAATCTATGGAGCACTTTTTCTTTATTAATTTTATTATTTAATTTCTTGTCAATTAGTTAAATTTTATGCTTAATAAAATATTTGTAATGACCCGATTTTTGAAATTTATTAAGGTGGAGGACCAATTTGCAAGAATTAATTTTTAGGGGCTAATTTGGAATTTTGCCAGGGACCTGTCTGAGAGGAAACACGACTTGAGGGATTAGAAGTGAAATTTTGCAGAAGTTTGTCAAGAATAGTGGCTGAACACTGTTTCTCATCGATTTATCCACGTTTTGTGATGATTTCATCCAGCTTTTAGCACGTTCTTGTGTGTTTTTGAGGAAAAGTCGAACCCCTCGATCAATTGTGAGTTTCGAGCAAGGGAAGAGTGAGATTCTAGAGCTCTTTCAGCCGAGGGAGGAAGCGGATGACCAACGGCTCTTCAGGGATTTTTGTGGCTTTTAAGCTAGTTTTTCTAACCGATTGAAGGTGCTGGGAGGTTCGTCGGAGTCCGTTTGGAGTTAAAGGGTGTTCGATCTTTGAGGTAAGCCCCTTTTTTTCTATTTTTCTTGGTTCCAGGTCTGTTCAGACCCGGACGGCTACCCGGGTCTGTTTTCCGGGTAAGGACAATGAGACCTGAACAGATCCGGGTCTTCGTGCTGAGCTGGCTCGGCCGAGTTGACTTGGCTCACCGAGTTGACTCAGCCAGTCCGTGTGGGCCAGGGCTGGTTGGGCCCGGGCCAGGAAGTGGCTGGACCATGGCCTATGGGCTTAGCCTGCGGGCTAGGAAAAAAAAAATGTGTTAAGAGTTTTGGGCTTGGGTCGGCCCAATTGGGTCATAGCCCAAGCCAAGGGGCCCGAGCTATTGGGCAGGTGGCTCAAGCCGAGCCACGGTCCGAGCCGAGCCGCGAGCTGCGGCTCGAGCCCAGCCGATCCAAAAAAAAAAAGAAAAGAGGGAAAATGATGGTTTGACCGAATCGGCCAGTGACTTTGACCGGCCGGTTCAGTGGGCAATTTGACTTGGAATTTGGATTTTTGACCGTTCTGGGTTCGGGGAGGAAAGATCTATCAAACCAAGTGGGTTCGGGAAATTTTGGGTGGCTAGTTCGAGGTGAACGGCTGATTTAGTGTGTTGACATTTGGTGACCGGTTCACTAGTTTTTAAGCCGGTTCTTGCGGAGTTTGGACTAGTTCCTAGTCCAATATGAAGAAACCTAGCTAACCATGAAGTTTGGTGATTTTGGGGTGATTGGTTCAAGGTGAACTGGTCTCGGTTTGCGTGTTGATGATTAGGGATTTGAGTTCTTAGCCGGTTCAGCTAGTTCAAGGCCTTCTTAGCAGGGTTAGACTGGTTCCTAGGGTTTTTGGGCCTTCTGAATCCGATTTTGAGGGTTTTATGGCCATTTAAGTTGAGTTGGAGGTAGTTTTAGACCGAACTAAGCCAGTTCAAGGGTTTTGGAGGCTGGTTGCTGTGGTTCGAGGTTTGTGGGGTTGGTTCCGTAGTGTTGAGGGCGATTAAGTAGATTTTTTTCAGTGTTACTGAGTCGCGTAGATTCTAGTGACAGGTCGTGTTGCCTCGAGATGCGTGCCAGGGGGCCAATTTGGGATTTGAGTCCGTTTGAGGCTACCGAGCTTGTTTCTTGTACCGGTTTCAGCGATGGTGATGATTTTGTGTGATTTTGGTTACAGATACGCCGTGGAGGTGCGTCCAGATCAGTGGGATGGGTGAGCGCGATTGGGAGTCCCTTTTGTTCAGCCTTGTACTGTGAGTGATGATACCCTCTCTATTCTTGCGTTTTCATACTGTGGTTTTCTGACATGATGATTATGTGATTTGAAAACTGTACTTTGATTATATGTTATACTCGGGATATGTGTTATGTGTTTTGTGAACTGTCAGTGAGCTATGTTAGTATGTGATACTTGTTTGAAATGTGAACTGTATATACGTATGTATACTTGTTTTTGATTACATGTGAGGATGGTATCATATGATGTGAGGTGGTAGGGGCCGCGATGTGATGTGTGATGTGAGGCGGCAGAGGCTGCGGGCGGCAGAGGTCGCGGATGTGATATGCATTAGTGCGATTCCTCCGATCGTCGAGATGGTGGGTTCCTCCGATCGTGAGAAGACGAGACAGGGGTCTCGTGATGTGATGTGTACGGGATGGCAAGCTCAGCCAACGGACGGTGGGCTGTAGCGTACGGGGAGTACCTTGGCTTGGCGATGAGATGAGTTGTGTGGCTAAGGGCTTAGTCGGCGAACGGTGTGCTACCGCAGCGCGGGGAGTATACTGACCCTGTGATGTGATGTGTACGGGATGGCAGGCTTAGTCGACGGACGGTGGACTGTAGCGTACGGGAAGTACCTTGGCTCGGCGATGAAATGAGTTGTGTGGCTAGGGGCTCATCCGGCGGACGGTGTTCTACCGTAGCATGTGGGGAGTACACTGACCCTGTGATTGATGCGATGTGATGATTGATTATCTTGATACCTCACATATGTGTTTTGATTACTGCTCACTGTATATATGTGTATGTATGATTTTGTACTTGTGGCGTAATGTATATCTCAACATGTATAGATTAGGTATCATCCGTACTCACTGAGTTTCGCGACTCATAGTTTTAAACATTCCAGATTCATTTGACTGTACTCACCTCGGTTAGCGCGCCAGTGTGGGAGATAGCGACTGCGGATTTGATCGATGTACGGGCATTTCTCTTTTATATCTATTATTTATTGTATTCTAGAGTAGCTTCCTTATACTCTCAGACAGGATTCTGGGTGATTTTTGAATGTTATATTATTGCACTTTGTGTATGTTTTATATTTTTTGAGTTTGACTGATTTTGTTGAGACTTACTGGGGTCGGTAGATTCTAGTGCTGGTCAGAAGCTGGGATTCGAGGCATGACAATATTAAAACTGCTCTTCATTAACATATATTGAACTCATTTCATTGTAAATTTTTATGAGGTAGAAAATAATCGTTAGATTATTTTTCAGATTAAATTTTCTTTCAATCTTAACACGCACTGTCCATAATATTGCACCAACATAATTTCAACCAAATTATTTATCTCATGTTTAAAAACTCTGGTATGGAGTTGTCAATGTTTCAGTAGTAGATGATTTCGGAAACAATGCCATTGGAAATCTTTTACATCCACTCTTATTCCAATCAAACAAGAGCTTTTAAAATTCTGAAAAAACATTTTCAGGAAGAGCTCAGCTGCGCAACCAGTTTCGTCCATCAATTTCCAATTTTCCTATCTTGAAGAAAAATACAGTTTTTCAGGAACTACAGAAAAGAAGAGGGAAATCTGGCTGAGCTGTTTCATTGTTTTGCAGCTAGAGTTGTGATTCGTGTCAAAATTCAGGGGTAAATTTGCCAAAGAGAGTCGAGCTGTAAGACTGAAGGTGATAAAGCACGACTCCATGGCAACAGTGAAGCTGGTTAATGCCAATGGCAATGGCTGTCCTTTGCCCTCTTCCTGCAAACCTGCCCTCCGCTGGAATAACCAGAATGCCCCGCTCTGTTCTGACCAGGGACTTCAGGATGCGGGTTCCATATGAGCTGAAGCAAGATCAGTCCCGTCTTTTCCACAATCTCCCTTCTGGTTTGGATATGGAAGTTATCTTCCAGAGGGGGCGCGACTGCAGAAACCCAGATAAGAGAAGAGAGAGATCTGAAAACCCAGCTCTGGTTTTCGTCCACGGAAGCTTTCATGCTGCCTGGTGCTGGGCCGAGCACTGGTTGCCCTTCTTTTCGCAGAATGGATACGACTGCTATGCACTCAGCTTGCTGGGTCAGGTGCCCTCTCTCTCTCTCTCTCTCTCTCTCTCTCTTCCCCCGTCTCGCCCCCCTCCCCCCCAATTTTTAAGCTCAAATAAGTAGGATTGTGTTGCTGAATCAAGCCCAAAATTCATTGGGATTCTTGTTGCTTTTTTAAAATACCAGAGATCGTTGATTACCAACAGATACTTGCTGATTATTCATGTTATTGTTTACTCCAATAAATGGTTGTTCAGAAAATTTTGGGCATATTCAAATTTTGTCATTTACTCTACCCAAAATTCCCGACTTCAATTAAGCATCTATTTCATTCATGAGTGTTTGCTTGCCGTGTTCCTCTATATCCTGTACAGAGATATTGGTTCGAAGCTCCAATCTTCCTATTTCATGGATAAATAGCAGATTCCGTTAAAAAAAATCATCTTTATTTGGCGTCCGGGGGTGGGGTGGGGGGGGGGGGGGGGATTGGTGGGAGGGCGCCTTAGCAGCTGATTTGTGAACTGTACAGATACATCATATGCGTGAATTATGAATTTGTATTTTGTAAATGAACTTAACAAGGAGAGGTCTGAAGGATGAAGAAGCAGAATTACAATTGTGGTGTTTCATCCATTCTTTCTGTAAATTAAAAAATTTTCAACCCATATATATTGATCGATTATTGGTTCTATATACCTAATCCTTCCTTTTTGTCTTTCTTACATCTGCATAATGTTGTAGTTTGATTCCTTTTTCTCTGACAATTGCATGGTGTTTACTGGTTATCCCGGTTTTAGAAGCATAGCTATGCATCTGCTGCTATCATTTTACGTTACAACTTGGCAGTCTGATAAAATTGACTGTAGATATCCAAAGAAATAAAGGCTGGCTAAATTTGCATTTATTTGCTAATTCTCCTTTCACATTCACTATTCCATATACCTACAATATTTAATTAGTAGCATGATTTTATTATATCTGATGCTGATTTGGTGCACTTCTGAAACTTGAACATGATCAGGGTGAAAGTGATGCCCCTGCTGGTCCAGTTGTGGGTACGCTGCAGGTATTTTAGCTCTCAACTGGAGAACACGTCCCCATATAAGCTTGTTTTCTGGATCTTCTTTCCTTCTTCTATTCTCTGATTTAAATATCATTCTCATTAGCTCTTCAATGCAGTAGACCCATGCTGCAGATGTTGCTGATTTCATAAAGAACAAAATCAGATCTCCACCGGTGTTGCTTGGGCATTCTTTTGGAGGGCTAATTGTTCAGTCATATGTTGCAAATATAAGAAGTGGACAAATGTCAGGTATAATTGCCATTTTGGTTTGTTTATGTAAATGTTATATTTTTTGATTTTGGAATCCTAGATAAACAAGGCGTTTAAGTGTAAACCTTTGATTGATATTACCCACATCAATTTCTTTTTCTTTTCTTTTTAGTTTTAGCATCACAAGACTTACAAGGTTTTTCTTGTCACAGATTGAAATGTGCATAAATTATAATGCCCAGGGGCCAAGTCTTCTCAAGTTAACTGTTTAATTTTAAAATGAAATGAAGCCTTAGTTTCCAAATAAATTGTACATCCTTGCAGTAGTAAAATAGTTATGCTGATTAGTGATTACATTATTTTTCAGTTTTGTTGTAATTATATGTACATTGGTTATGTGTGCTGCAAAGTGCATGTATTGGGTAGGCAGATGCAAACATACATGCTTTGATGATTTTCATGATATTTGATCTGTGAGATTTTGCCACAAGATGCTTAGTACGTTCTTGTCATAAGGCAGCTGGCTTGCAGCAAAACTTTGCAGAACTTTTTAAGACACTGATATTTCATAAAATTGAAATTAATTTATTTTAAGTGATACTTCCCTAGTTAATTATTCCTCTGCACTTTTGATTATGGAAACAGAAAGCTTGCACCCAGATCTTTCTGGTGCCGTGCTTATCTGCTCAGTGCCCCCTTCCGGTAATAGGTGATTTCTTATACAACATTAAACCCTTTGTTTTCCATGAGTATAATGGAAGTTCGGTTGAAATGATCTTCTTCTAATGATTGCAGTGGATTAGTGTGGCGTTATCTCTTTTCCAAGCCTATTGCTGCTTTTAAGGTATGTGTTTGCTCACAGTGTCGTCAACTATCTGATGCTAAACACAATGAAAGAAATAAAGAAAGAAGAGATAAGAGGGAAAAGGAAGAATGGATACCTTCACAAAGGATCACCGAACCTGCAGGCCACGCAAGTTTGCAACTTAGAAACACATATTCAACTCTCTGATTAATAAAACAACTAAAAATGTACAGTGAAAAGTATCATAATCCTACTAGAACTCTTAAATCCTAATCAAAACAAATTATATTGAATTTCAGATTATAATTAAGCTAATCCTAAGGAATATAATTAGATCCTGATCCTAAACAAATTTTTTACTAAATGTCCTAAAGTAAATGAAATACTAAACACTAAATTTACAGCACAGATGAAATTCTGAAATTAATAGAGTATGAGAATACTTCAATTCTTAAAAGCTGGCCCTATAGAATCTGCATCACTGCCACTGTAACTCCAAATCATTGAACTGGAGAGGCTATTAGGTAATACGAAAGGAAATGAGGGCATATCTTCATATATATCTTTGAGTGAAATATTTTGTAAAAGACCATGTAATGTGTTGATTAGTCCAGCATTTCTTCTTTTCGGTATTTCCCACAGTTCCACCTATATTTTGTTTATCCAAATCTTCTATTTGGTAACTTGAGATGTAATCAGAGACAACTATTGTCTTTAGCACCTAAAAATGCCATCTAAATTTCAATTCTAGTAGCTTTTATTTATTTATTTATTTATTTATTTATTTTTAACTTATCACTATTTTAATTATAGAATGAAAAATGTTCTTTACCCCAATCAGTCTGCCATTGTTCTTTATATATCCACCAGTTACTTTTGAATGTCTGTTGGTTTGCAAGGGATCCTCGTCCTTATCCAAAGGCGAAGAAAATGACCTGGAAAGCCATAATGTAACTCAAGACATGAAGTATGTTAAGTAAATCCTTGAAGGAGGGGTGGTCGGGGTGAATGTTTACAGTTTCTTTTTTTTGTTCTGCTGTGTGTTTTATAGATGAAATATTACCCATTTTCGTAATTTAGATGCAATTGATTCCAAACATGGAGCAGGTGACGCGCAGCTTGGCAGCCAAAGCTTTTCAAACTTCTCTGCCTCTTTGCAAGGAAACATTTTTCTCAGCAGAGATGGAGGATAATCTTGTCTTGCGGTTTGTTCCAAGAACTTTATTTGTTTAAATCATATAAACATCGTGCTCTGTTATTATAATAGTGTATATTAGTTCAATCTTATCTATCTACACGGAAACATTGTACCATGAAGCAGAGTGGGTCAAAATGTTGACCCAACCGCAGTCCCAGTAACACAAAAAATTAATTTGTCCCTGCAGGTTTCAGAAAGATTATACGGGACTTTCTAGGTGGTCCTTAATAATGTGGGGGTTTTCAAATTTAAAGTTAGCCTATAGTTTTTTTTTTTAATGTAAAAAGGGAAGGAGAAATTAATATAAAGAAAATAATGGAATGTTCAAACCATGGATTCTTGTTGTGGTTTAATCTGTCAAGAAGGCAATGAAATGAGTAGAACTTATTTCCCTTTTCCCACCTTTCATGTTCTCTTCTGCTGGCTCAGCACAAGTTCAACATTTAATATCGTACTTTATTTTCCAATCTGGATTGAGTCTTGATTTTACCTCTTGTCCTATTTCAGCAATCAAAAGCTAATGACAGAAAGCTCGAGGATGCCATTATTTGATCTGAGGAAGCTTAATGCATCACTTCCCGTTCCTTCATCGCCAGAGGGTTCCATTAATATTCTTGTTATCGGTGCAAGTGATGACTTCATCGTGGTAATCATTTTGCTCAGTTTACCTGTGTGCACTTCTTGTTGAACAAGAACCATAATTCCTTTCTACTGCTTGAAAAGGTTTAATGCTACCTTTTTTCACCTCTATCATCTGTTAGAGGAATAAATACATTTCTTCGTCCTTCTCTATTGTGGAAAAAATCTGGGGATTGCCGGTCTGATGGTTGATGAACAGGACAAGGGGAGCAGGATTGGGATAATTGGGACTAATGGGAAATTGATTGATTTCCCATCATTAGATTATTACTAATCCTTCTAACTTTGATATATCTGTTATCAACAACAACCTGAATTTTTTTGTTGGTTTTTGATAACTAAGTGAGGAAATATGTGTAGGATGCTGAAGGCTTGAGGGAAACAGGGAGGTTTTATGGTGTATCTCCGGTCTGCATTGAAGGTGTCGCCCATGACCTTATGCTGGATTGTTCATGGGAAAAAGGTGCAAGCGCCATCTTGTCCTGGCTCAGTGGTTTGAGTTAATGGCAACATTGCTTTGTGGAGTTGTTCAAGGTTTTATTTTTTATTTTTTAACTGTGTCAGAACGGAGAAGTTGAACTGCAGAGACTGTAAAAGTAGCTTCTGTAAGCCAAAAGCCATTCTGTATTAATACAACTTATTTTTGGATTTGCTTCCTTTTTTGTTTCTTTACAGTCTGATTCTTAATGTATATCTATATGTATATAATGCATGCGTTTCTGGGTTTAGCATGACAGTTATTGAACCAAATGAAGTTTATGGTGGATAAATAAAGGGCCGGTTTTCTGGGGGGAAAAAAATCAGGAACGGGTTGAAATTGTACTTGTGTGTGCAACCAAGTGGGCCTCTTATGGGCCGGGTTTGGATGCAGCGACGAATCCGATATTTAATTTTGAGGGGAATACATTAGGAATATTTTACACCGCAAATTAAGTTTAGAAGATTAAATGATTAATTTTACACCGCAAATTTGACTTCATTGTGAATTTTTTCAATCACAGTAGCAACTAAAATTGATTGGCTTATTAATCATAATTAATTAGTATAATATTTGCTAAACTAACCTTGATATTATCTCTTTCTTCAAGTTCTTTGGAATTTTAATAGAAGGACCAATTTGAAAATTTGAATTAAAAATTCTCACACTTTCATAAAGATATAAACATACAAATTATATTGTACTTTCAAAAGAAATCGATCAGATTTACATCAAAGCAATTAAATATGAATCTAACTAACCATTGCTATATTCAAATTTGATTCGATATCCTACTATAATATATAGTTTATTAAATTATATCTGAATTCGATAAATAATATAAAATCTTGATAAAAAAAATTCGATTCAATAAAAAAAATATATATTTTTATACTTAAATCTTTTAACTATACTCCATCAATCATATTAATTTTTAAATTTTCTAAAATTTTTCAATTTAATACTCATAAATTTGAATTTATTAATATTATATATATAAGATTATTAATTTAATAAAAAATATTATTAAAAGTCAAATTCGGATCTTTAATAGATTAAATTAATTAATTTCATATTCGATTCACTTATTTCAAATTACAAATATTTATAATTGGATCTGATTTATTGAATATTTTAATCAAATTTTAATTTTAAAATTTTAGATCAAATTCATAACAAATTCGGATAAAAATTCAACATCAACAGCCATCTTAATCTTTTTATTTTACTTTTGGGCTTAGGCCTGTTTGTTAAAAAATAAAAGAAAAATTTTGAAATCCAAAAAATAATTTTAATTTGCAGATTGTACTTCAAAAATAGAAGTTTTAGACACTTTACATCTTAAAATTATAATTTTAGCATTTAATACCCAACTTTGTCAAATATGCACCCTCACCATAAAATTAACAAATAAAATTGGAAGTTTGTATTTTGAAAGATAAAAAGATAAAAAATTTAATTATGTTTTTTCCTATTATCACTTTATTCAAATTTTTAAGGCTTTTTTTTAAATTATTTCACTCATTTCTTCTATAAATTAATCAATAAATTTATTACCCAAATATGTTAAACTTAATTTTATTTTTTTGAGTAAATATAATTTGTGATATTTTATTTTTTAAATAATTTATTTTCTTTTTAAATTAAATTGTTTAAATTTTGTTAGAGAATAAGAGAAAATTTAAAATTTAAAATTATATAATTAAATAAATTAAATTCTAACTTGTTTAATTATTAAATAACTAATAATAGATTTAATTATTAATTCATTAAATTCTACTCATTTGTTTGGATGGAGAATGACAAAATATTTGTATTTGTTTTATAAAATTGTTTTTTATTTTCAAAAAATAATCATTGTTTGGCATTATTTTTAAAACATACACTTTTCATTTTAAAATTTTAAAAAATACATATTATTATTTTCAATAAATAATAAAAGTAATAAAATGAGCAAAAAATTTAAAAATATAATACAAATTTAAAAATATTTAAAATTTTCTCTTATTTTCTAACAAAAATAAACAAAATATATTTAAGAAATAAACAAATTAAAACTTTATTGTTATACAATATTTAAAATACACGATGTTACAAGTTATATTTGCTCAAAAAAAAAATAAAAATAAAAAATTGATACCTTTAGTTTATAATTTATGAATAAAATTATTAAAAAATGGATGAAAATATACAAAAAAATAGGAAGAATATTGAATAAAGTGGAAAAAGAGAAAATAGAGTCCAATTCATTTTGTTGCATTTTTAGCCTTCAATAATATAAGTTTCAATTTTACCCTTCAATTTTATAGTGAGAGTGTATTTTGAATTTTTGAAATTTTGTACTTCAAAAATAAGAGTTTTTAGCACTTTACATTCCAAAATTCTTAATTTGACACTTAGCACCTCAAAATTATAAAAAATGTACCCTATTTTTAATTACCTATTAAGACTAAAGTAAAATTTGAAACTTTATATAAATAGAGAGTAAAAAGATCATAAAAGACTTAAACACTTTATTTTTTGTTATTTTCACTTTATTTAATAAATTTTCACTTAATTTACACATACATTAATGGTTTGTAAAAGATTTAAAAGATTAGTACTGTTCAAAATTTTAAAATTAAAAATAAAATTTAATAAAAAATATAAAAAATTTGATAGTCAAATGTCTGAATATTTTCATTATGCAAATGTTGCAAGGAAACCTAAAAAATATTTGATATTCAAATGTCTAGATAAATTTATTCTTTATTGATAGATTGTTCTAATAAAATTAGAGAGAGAATAAAGATTAAGACAAAAAAAAAAAAGAATTACACATAATTATCATAAAACTTAAGAGAGGAGATAATTCAATAAAATTAGAGGGAGAATGAGACTTAAATATAAACCATTATTAATAGAATAATCTAAGTTTTAATATTTTTAATTTAAGAATGGGTTTTTGTTTTTTGTCCACTGGTGTGGCATAAATTAAAAGTATAAATATATATATAAGATTTCTATATATTAATTTTTAAATTTTTTTATACAAAAACTTTATTTTAGTTTTCAAATTTTAAAATTTTGAATAATATCAAAATTTTAAATCTTTTATAAATAGTTAATGTTTTCATAAATTGGGTGAAATTTTATTAAATAGAATAGAAATAATAAAAAATAGAGGATTCAAGTTTTTTATGATATTTTATTCTTTATTTATATAAGAATATAAATTTATTTTTAATTTTAATAATTAATTAAAATAAAGTGCATATTTTACAATTTTAAGGTATTAAATATTAAATTTATAATTTTAAAGTATAAAGTATTAAAATTTTTTATTTTCAAGACGTAAAGTGCCAATAAATCGTTCATTCTTGATAAAATTAAAATATTAAATATTAAAATATAAAGTACGAATAAACTGGCAGTGGAATACAACTTGAAAATTATTCCAAAAAAAAAAAAAATTCCAATCCGAAATTCAATCCGTTTGCACGGTTAAAACTTATAGGTGGGCCTAGGCCCATGATGCCTCATATCCAGTCCATCTGCCTATCTCTGTGATTCAATCTTGACCGTCTAGAACTAGGGCGAACGTCGCTCGCGGTCTCGGCCTTTTAAACCCTACCTGTGCGAAACCTCCTCTCCCTCTGCAGCTGGAGCTGAAGCTAGGGCATTCTCTATCGTTCCAGGTCGAGCCGAGCGTCGCCATCGTCGCTTCACCTCTCAAGGTTCTTATCTATAAACCAAATGGGTTTTCTTTATTGGCCTGCTTTCACGCTGGTTCATTCTAATTTATCGTAGTTCCTTCTTCAATCGATTAGTCCTTTTGGTGGATACTCTGTGGGGTTTATTGTTTCTCATCATCAATTTCCAAGTCATTTTATCAAGGTTCAAAGACTCTGCTAATAACTATGGTTCGTTATTTCTGAGGGTATTTTTATGTTATGAATGGATAAAATTCTCTTCAAAGCCGTGGAATGTGAACAGGATTTTTTATGTTTTTCTTTTTGTGGTCTTGAATTTTGAAACACTTTAGGATTATTTTAGTTGCTATGTGGGTTGGGTGCAGAGGCCCTTTTTTCTCCCGCGTAATGGTGCAGTTCTTGTCTTTTGTTATTGTATTCAATACAGTGAGATCTTCTGCATCGTAAGTTTTATGGTTTTATGATTTTTTTAGTAGGTTTGCTCAAATAGGATTTAAAAATCTCCTCTTTTAACTCAATAAGGCAAAGACCTTTTAAGGTGGATATTGTGTAGACTAGATAATTCTTCATTTTAACCTTTCAGCACCCAGATACCGGTCAGGGCTAATTAACTCAGAATCATAACTCAGAATCATCTACTTTAGGGTAAAACAAAAAGGGCTATTCATAATTTTTTTTTCTTGTTTACAGTATATTTTTCATCTTTATTTTTAATAGTAATAGTTTAATTATTGTGAACTTGTTCAAGCTAATTTCTACCATAATTATTCAATTGTATATTTACGTTTAATAGCTTTATATTTTGCTTTGAAGTTCAATTTTGCTTCCATTGGATGATATACCTGACCTGTCTTATTTGTTGAAACAAAAGCTGTCAAGATGTACACTTCAAGGAAGAAGATCCACAAGGACAAGGATGCTGAACCAACTGAATTTGAGGAGACAGTTGCCCAGGTCTGGCTCTATGTCTCTATTATCTTGCAAATTGGAAGAGCTTTTGATGAAAGTTTCAATACTCGACTGAACCTAGCTCCTTATTTCTCTGCTCGCTAGCAATTTGGAGGACTCATAATGAACATTCAATACTTCAACTTTTTTGCAGGCATTATTTGATTTAGAAAATAGCAACCAGGAGCTCAAAAGTGATTTGAAGGACCTCTACATTAATTCTGCAGTGTAAGAGATTGGTTAAATGATATGACTATGATCTTATTTAGTGATATGCTTTTGGTATTATATGGACTACTCTATCTTTACAGTCAAATTGATGTTTCTGGAAATCGCAAAGCTGTAGTCATCCACGTACCATACAGATTGAGGAAAGCTTTCCGCAAGATTCATCTTAGGTTGGTTAGAGAACTTGAGAAGAAGTTCAGCGGGAAGGTAAGTTTCTTATAATCTGGATTCCTGTAAGTATATTTCTTTATATAGCAATGTTCTTCTGTTTGGCTTATGAAAATGGAGGTTTGCAATTCAATCACTTCCAAGAATGATACTCTTCATATCAAAGGCTGATTGAAGGATGAGGGGAATTTTTCAATAATTGTTGGGCTTGATATTAGAGCTCTGTGTCGGCTTGAGTCTCTTTATTAGATGGATTTGTGAGATGTAAGATTCTTTAAGCTATTGATTTGAGAAACGCTGATGCATTCTGCATTAGTCGCTTTGCAGAAGTATTCTAAGAAGTTTATTTTAGAAAATCAAATGTGTATTTTTGTGACATTTTAAGAAATTGCCACCAACAGTATCACTTGAAGGATTTATCCTAAATCAAAATTTACGTGGAAGTCAAGATTTTTTTTCTATGCATCCATCTTTATCATTCACATATTGAGAACTTCTGAAGAAATAAAATACCATTTGTTTGGTTTTGTTTGAAATCACCAGTAGCTGTTTAATAGTTAACCATTCGGTTCATGGATGTTTTTCTCACTGATAGATGGTTTTTTTGAAGCTGTTATTGACATTATTTAGTCATATGGCCATTGACTGTTGGCAGGATGTTGTTATGATTGCCACCCGAAGAATTCTGCGGCCACCAAAGAAGGGCTCTGCCGTTCAAAGGCCTCGATCCCGCACACTCACAGCAGTGCACGATGCCATGCTAGAGGATGTTGTATATCCTGCCGAGATTGTGGAAAGCGTGTTAGATACAGGCTTGATGGCTCTAAAATAATCAAGGTAATTGCAGTCATTGTGTGAAATAATGACAGACGACTAAGAGAAATAATTCCTTTGTTCTTTATACATGATTGAACCATCTGTGGTTGGAAATGTTACTTCTACAGCTTAGGGCTGTCTTCTTTTGAACATCATCATTTATCCATGTTAGGAGATCTGGTCCTTCCATTTTTTGCAGATCACACTTTCAAATTCACAACATTTTGAACATATCTGGACAATGCAACCCCAAGTCATTGTCTTATTGCCCTTGTTGATTTTAACAGAATAATATGTTTACTTTGTGACAGATATTCCTGGATCCCAAGGCACGCAATGACACTGAGTACAAGCTTGAGACGTTTGCTGGAGTTTATAGGAAGCTTTCTGGGAAAGATGTCGTTTTTGAATACCCAACAACAGAGGCTTAGGATCTGTTCTGTTACATGAGCTTTTTCTCTTATGGTTATGTTCTGATGAAGTAATTCAAATTTTGTTGCCAGATTTGGATTGGTGAACTTTTGCATAGGAAGCAGGCACATTTAGCTGAAACGCTAAATATATTTCATGTGTTAGTTTTAAGCTTTGGATAATATTTGATTGTGAAACTCCCATGGTCCTTTGAGGATTGAAGTATATTCTCTGTTTAACCTGTCGTGTTATATGTGCAGTACCACCAATGCATTCTGTCTATTGAAGAAAATTTACTTGCTTATCAGACGCAAACCATGAATTTATTGTTTAATCTCATGCTTTTATTGTTGTAGTCATTGCTCTTAGTGCTTTATTAGATGAAAATGCAATGGTAGTGATGATGCTGGATACAGAACTTGCAAATGTGTATATGAATAATCACACCTTTGAATGAGGATGATTGAACATGATAAAGATTCAATTAATGTGAAACTAACAAAGATTAAAAAAAAGCTATTTTAATAAAAGCACTAATTTCACTCGAACTATAGCGTTCACTTAAAATTCAAGTAGTCTACTTTACTGTTTTCTTGGGTAAATATCAGGGATGATGATTCAATAATCACTGCCTTCTGCCCTTGACAACTCATGAAATCTTTGTCATTGGCTGTAAATGTTTAAACAGAATTGTTTACTAATAGCTGCTCAGAAATCTTGTATTCATTTTATATATTCAAATTCTATGTATGGCAAATCTAAATCAATCCTCAAAGCGAAAAACAAAAAACAGAAGCAATAAGCTGTCTGCAAAGGGAAATGGCTCTAAAGCCATTCACAATAACTGCTAGAGAACATAAGCCCTAGCAGTTTGTGGACTGTTAATACTAAATACATTGACCCTTGCAATTTGTTGACTGTTAAGACTAAATACATCAGCTTTAGTAAATAGCAACTTATTAATTACTCACTACTCTTGAAAATCATTTGAGTACAAACTGTCTGAGGGTGACTTCTCAAGAATCTCATCTGCAACACATTAACATATTCAATCTGGGACAGTTAGAGTGCCGCCAATTGTTTCTTTTTGAGCTGTCATTGAATCCAAATTCTTCCATATATCATCATTCAAGCATGTACATGAAGACTATAATATTGCCCAATTACAATTTTCACAAACTACAATTACACAAGCAAGTGGCCAACCCAGTTGGGTACGACTCATGAATGCCTACCTCAAACCTTTGGTACTTCATTAAGATGAAGAAAAGAAAGAAGCAACATTGGCAGTGCATAGCGAAAGCTTGGATTTTTTATGCTCCTAATGTTTTGGGGCATCCCGACAAATATATACCTGCCAATCCGATGTCCACCCCGCCTCATATTGTGCCGGAATGGTAAGTTTAGCTACAGTATTCAACTCAAGAGGCCTCAAAGAATCTGCTGTTCACTCCAGCTCGGTAGACGTGTACTTTGGATGATGTTGCCACTTCTACGCTAACATCTGCAGGGGCGAATAGAACATCACCCTCGCTAACTAATTCTTCAAAGTGTGCCCCATGCATTGTTCCCTCTCCTGCTATGACAATGAAAATGGAGGGACCAGGGGATGCTGAAAACAGCGCTGATGCACCATGCGGAAGAATGCAGCTATCAATTTCAAATTCATTGAAAGGAGGCAAGTACTTTCTTGTAAATGAATTTAGAGGAATCCCTCTCAGAATTTCGGGAAAGCCCTGCAGAAGAGACCCAAATTAGATGAAATCACAAAAGTAAATGCAAGGGCGAAGAGGCAATCTCCACCAGCACAGAAAACTGTATGTAAAATGAATAGTCTTGTCTCCAATTCACTGCACCCACAAAAAGAAAAAGAAAAAGAACAATCCTATCAAAATGCATAATTTAGCTATTGGGATTCTGGTTGTTGTTCTTTTGCGCTCTGCCCCTTTCACACACACACACACACAATATATATGTATTTTTTTTGATTGCACCCTTTCACATATATTTATCAACAAGCTTCTTTTACATGCTCAGTTAATGGGTGTAAACAAGCTGTGTCTGTCCTAAATCCAGACCCAATTAGTGGGGATTAAGGTCCGATTATTCACCCACTTTTCATTTCCTCCTGATTTTAAAGGTAAAAAAGAAGCAGGCCCAGGCCCAGGCCCTATCTGATGGCAACTGGATCTTGCAAGTCTGGATTTTGGATCTACAGATGGATCTGGATCAATGGTCCGGGTTGGACTCCACCCCTTGACAGCCTTGTCAAGAAAGGCCTCTGGTTTCTGCCAGATTACAGAAGCATACTTTGGAAGTAGCTGGCCAATTGCCAGTTTTTAGGAACTAAGGGCTTCATTAGTACCAATTAGTTAGAATTATAAGCAGAGAGGATAGAGGAGAGTTAATAAGTAATGACCAGCAAAGGCCTAATGTTTGGGAAATTTGAAGATTAGCTTACTAACCTGTTTGTAAGTGAGCATGGAGCAAAGAGTCTGCACGTCCCGGTGCTTTGGAGTTAGGCCAGCGCGCACAACATTGTCTGAAGTTGCCATGCATTCGATACACTCACCACTTATATAAGCATGAGGTTCATTTGCCCCTAAATACAATGCTTCACCTGGATTGAGCTTCACATAGTTAAATAAGAAAGTTGCTATCACACCCACATCAGCTGGATACTGGTTTTCTAGTTGCAATACAAGCTGTTCTTTGTCTGCCAATTTCCTCACCTGATGCAAAGTTCTAATGAATTATTGAAATCATGAAACAAGATGATACTAACCAAACAATGGCTTATGATAGTCAATCTTAGAGACTTCCATATGCCAAAGGAGAATAGATATCAGAACAATCTTTTGTTATTCCTGAACAACCTTTCGGTGACATACAGAAGAATTAAGGAGAACTGGGGACAGATTTCCAATCTACCTGACTCTCTGTTTTGAGTCGACTCTTCAAATTGGATACTGCTTTGGAAATCACATCCTTGCTAGCAGTCATGAGTTGGGTAAACACTGATTGCAGAACTGCTTTTACTTTCTCCTCTCCTTGACTATTGAAGTCTAGTTCTAAAACTTGATTAGCACAGGCAGTCCCAACGACTTCCACAATCTCGGGAACATTTCCGAAAACATCCTTAAGCCCCTGAAATTTTCGATTTCATCGATACCCGAGTATAGTTTAAATAAATAGTCCCATGAACGCATACACTCACAAAACCAGGTTAGAGCATGTAGCCAAAAGATTCACAAATCAAATTTTAATTATCATGTAACCAATTAAAGAGGTTTTTAGTTCCTTGACCTTTTAGACTTGTGCATATGGCTTCTTAAGCCAGACAAGCCGAAAAAGCCAGGCTGTTGTAGCTTCTATTCTTAAGCTAAAAGCCGTAAAAGCTTAACTTCTGGCTTTTTTGAATTTTGTGCTTATTGTAATCCCAAAAATCTGCCCTACCAAACCCCTTTTAGATAAAGAATTATTAGTTAACCGAGTAAGTTAAATTGAGCTACGAGAGGACGAAGATGAATAAGTTACCTCGAGACTGGTAAACCCACAAAGAGCTTCGAATTCTGTTACTGCCAAGGCCATTTCAGGCTTGTGATTATCGTCCTTGTAGATATCAGGCCGAGACTTGTGCAGCACTCTAGCCAATTCCTTGTCAGGGTGTGCCTGGATCGATAATGCCTTTGCAACTGAAAGTACCTAACAAAAGCCAAACGATCCGATCACTGTTCAAACTAAATTCTGGGCAGTAGAAGAACCCCAAATCTCAATTCATCGACTACCTAAACAATTAATTGCAAATATGAAGGCATACCTTGAACAAGAAGGGGAGATCAAGACCCCATTTCTGAACAACCTTTTCACCCAGAACATCAGGATTTTTCTCAATCCACGATTTCAAGCTCAAATTCCGATGATTCGAGTCGGCTAACTCGCCATTTTCTATGTTTTTCGAGCACAATCGATGGTCCAGACTCGTGAGTGCCCATCCAGAATTCGGCATACGGCTTGTCTTCCTCAGTGTCGACCGCTGAGTTGAACGAGAAGAGCCTGGCGACCCGTGAGTAGCGACCGAGTCGACCCCAGTCGTAATTCTTCACGGGGCATCGAAGTCGCAGAAGGGGACGACTCGCCGAGCCATTGCTCTCCCCCATCACCACTACAGCGTAGACACGAGGAGAGAGAAGGAGAAAAACTAGAGAGAGAAAATGGATTGGTTGCGAGGGAATTGGTGCCACCCATGGCAGAGAAGTCTGCGCCTCTTAAAGACGCCACCGACGAGAGGGAGGCAAGATCGTGAGAGACGGAGCTTTGTGAAGATCGCGCTACAGTTCGAATTTTTGCAGTTCATCGTAGGTTGGCTGACGTGTCCCGGACAGCATGGACCAATGGGGGCTTTGATTTGGGGGATGGGACCTCTCCTTCAGCTTCTTAGCAAAAGCATCCTGATAACTATCTTTTTAAACACGTGAGCTGTTTGACCTAAAAAGAAAAAAAATAAGTACGCTTTCCTCCTCCAACTTCTTTTTTTCCAAACATGACCCAACATTGAATTGTCAATTTGAAAATTAAATTGTTTCCTATTTATCACAAAAGACGTTATTGTTACAAAAATTAAAACTTTAATCATTTAAAAAATATTTATTGTGAAAAAATACAAAATTTGAACAATTTAAAGAAAGACACCGTTATGCTCGGAGTGTTCATCAATTGATTTGTTTTGATTTGATATTTAAATTCAAACTAAATTATACTCTATAATTTATAATTTTGAGAAATTAAATCAAATTACGATTTACAGTTTAATTCAGTTTTAAATTATAGTTTGTGATTTGTAAAAATAAAATAAATTTTAGACAAAGTTTTCTTTATAAATGAGATATTCAAAAATTTTTTTAACATATTCAATTTAAAATTTATTATCTATCAATTAATCACAATAGTTATACATTATATATCCATATAATATAATAGAGTTTGAATTATACTAATAAAAATTACTTTGTATAAAAAAATTAATTATCAAAAAAAGTAAAAATATAATAGATAATAGAAAAAAGACATATTTAGTCAAATAGTAAATATATACTATATATATGAAAATAGAATTTTTAATCCTATATATGCATAAATTATATAATCTGATTTGAGTTATACAATTTATTTATATGTTAAATATCAAATCGAGCTATATAAATAAATTATTTCACAAACATAACCAAACTAAATCAAATTATAATTTAATTAATATAAATGATTTAGTTTTCTTTGCTGAACAACCTAATTATGCCAACAAATTGTTTTGGGCATATTTCAAGGTTTTAGCAAACAAATTTTTGGCATCTATTCTTTGTTTGGGTTCCCATCAATGCATTAATTGGGTATACATCCTACTCCTCCTTGTAATTCATGACTTATCCTACTCGTAGAAATAAAAAATGGGAAATTCAATTATTTAATTGGTTATTCTATTCCCTGAATTGGATATCCTCATTCTTTCTTCTGGGTGTTAATTAACTATTTATTTTAGTGGGTATTCCTAGCTCCTACTTGTAACTAATCTATTCCACTTGCTGGGCTAGCTGAGCCTTGTACGCTCGCATGCTTCACGCTTGCAAATAACACAAGTTATTAATTATGCATGAGTGGTTGAGGATCTTTGGCACTCCCTTATTTATTTGTTTTGTTTATTCATTAATCATTGTTACCATAGTAGATGACCGTTAAAAATCTTGATTATAGTAGATTAAAATACACCGTGGGTCCTCAAATTTATAATATCATTTGCTTTTCATTTTTAATTAATTTAAATTATCCACATTTTTATTTTATTCTTCATTTTGATAAATTTAGATATTCATATTTTTTAAAAATAATTTATGCACGTTATGTTATTAAATTTTAATTTTAATTTGAATTTTGTTAAAAATATCTAAATTATTCATAATAATAAAAAATTGTAATTATTTAAAATTTTGTTTATTTAATACACAGGTTTTTAAAATAAAAATGATGTCACGAGAAATAAATAGAATTAAAAAATAAAAATTGATTCCAAACATAACATTATTGAAGGAGATAAGTTCTCGAATTCAACTCAAGTACTGAAATAATTTTAAAAAAAATTTCAAACTTAAGTATAGTTGCCAAAATTTCTCCCTATCTATTTACTTAACCTAGCACCTATTTATATTAATCTAAATATAAAAATAAAATAAAGTGAATAATCTCATTTCTAATATTATCTATAAATTTAACTTTTATCTCCTTTCTATTTCTTCTTAATATTTATCTCTAACACAAATTCAATGAATGTTTTCAAAAAATAAATTATAAGCAAGATATAAATACTTTAAATTTATAAAAAATAATATTTTTTCAAATAATTAAACACATTACTCGAATCACCTTTTACATAAATCATCTAGAAATTTAAAGTCATCACCAACTCATGCATAATAATTAATTTAAAATTTATAAAGGAGATAAGGAAGGCACTAAATTCTAAACTCTAGGTCCCTTGCCACGTCACACTGTAATAATTTAAACGACTGGCAAACCCACGTGCTCGGCATGTCCTGTTTACCATATTTTCCTTTAAAATAAAAAGCAGAGGACTCCAATCATTGGTCCAACATGGTAAGAAAATAAAATTGGAAATTATTTTTATTTTTTTGATAAGTACAGGGGCATTTTGATAAGTAAATAGGGATGGAGACCTTTTGATAACTGATGTGGCTTTCGCTAAAAGGGTACTGTCTTTTTCCATAGGAAACTCTTTTTCTTTCCCTCTAAATCGAGATTAGTTAGCTTTTAAATTATTAAAAATTAAGTTTTTATTCTACAAAGTCAATAATATAAAAAGGCTCTATTTTTTTAATATCAAGGACCTCAAAATTATTTAAAAGCTTATTTTTTATTTTTTGTGGAGGGAATAGTGAGTGGAGTATTAATCACATGTTTAAAAAAAAATTGACAAGTTGGAAAATGACATTCATCCGTCTTCTTAAGTTTAATTAGCTCTTTAATTAATGCATAACTAGCAAAAAAAATTAAATAACTACGTAATGGAAGAAAATAACGTACAAACTAGAAATAATGTTTTGTGAAGCAAGATACCGGGTCGAGTTGACCCGGTGCTGCCGTGTTGGAGAATTTTTAGTGACGGAAAGGGATTTATTTTATTTACTTATAATATAAGAATATTTATTTATTAAAATAAGAAATGACAGACATCAACCAAAGTTATCCGGCCCACATCAATCATTCATCAAGTGATTGGCCATCTTGACCAATCTCAGTATAAATATTTTCAATTTTCACAACAACTATTTTTAAGAAATTTCTTTTGATAATCTATGATTTTTTTATCTATAAAATTTGATTTATGGGGTTATTCATTAATTAAAACAAGGATAATAAATGCCGTTAATTTAAAAAAAAAAAACTGCTGGACTTTCGGATAGCTCGGAGATCTAAACGTTCAAACCCGTTTAGATAAGCTGGGGCTTTCAGGATGGCAGATCTAACCACAATTACATAATCCAGTTTTGACTACAATAATTATGGGTTGACCCGAATCTCGAGTTTATTAGGACCATGGATTTGTTGAAGAAGAGAAAGTTAAACATTAAAAATGAAATAAAAATTTGAGTGAATGACAAAATATGAATTGGCGTGGTAATATTTTTATCATAATGAGATCAATTAATATCTTCTAAATTATATAGTTTTTTTATACTTCTACGGGGAAAAATTTGTTTTTCAGGGTGGAGGATTCTCCTCCTTCAAAGCCATCCCATAGTTGAGGAGAATCTATTGCATTAGTGAGAAGACAGCACTTGGTATCTAATTGCCCGAAGGCTTTAAGTTTAAGGAAGGTATCAGCTAAGATAAGGTTTAAACATTATTTCTTTCACAAAAATCAGTTTCAAATTATGAAATTTTAATCATTTTTCATACATAATTTAATATTATTTTTTATATGACATGCATTAAACAATATTTTCGGCAAAGGAAAATCAATTTTTTTTTTTTTTTTTACTTACAATGAAAGGGGGAGTGAAGCTTAAATAGAAGAAAACACTACATTAAATTTCTTTGGGATAAGAACTTTCATAAAATAATGATGCAAAAGGTATTTTAGGTGATTGGTGGGAAAAACTTAATCTTTTACACTAGACTTGTGTGTGAGACTGGTATTAGTTAAAAAAGTCAACACATGTATTCTATTTTTTAAGAATATTTTTAACTTTTACTTGTCTTTATTTGTGAATCAATAACTTAATTTTTAAGATCATAGACATGATAGTGAGATTATCAGTGTATCTTCTAATAATTATATTAGCCACTACTTTAGAGTCTAATTCTTGCTCGACTTATTTGAAATTCATTTTCTATGCTAATTCAAGACTTTTTTGAATTTTCGACATTTTAGTGACTATGATTCTTTTTCAAGATTCATGAAAAAACCCTAATCTAATTTAATTAGTGGTCTCCAACTAATTACCCAAAACTACATAAAAAAAAGTGCAAGAAATTTGGTATATGATCCATGGACCGTGGAACTGGGCTATTGGGTTGGGCTTTTTTTACGGGGTGAAAGTTTGGGCATATAAAATAAAAAATTAAATTAAAATGTGGAGGGTTCAGATTAAGTAAGTGATAAGAAAAATTAATAAAGTATTAACTTTATAACCAGAATCAACCTGTTTGGTAAGTTTGATTTGAAATGATTAGCCGCATCTCTCAATTATACAAGGAATCTTCCTTCTGTAATTTCTTATTATCATTTTCGTGGAACTTTGTCACTCTTGTAAAAAAAAAATAAATAAATAAATTGATTTTTTTTATGATTCAAACCGGAAAGAAACCGAATCTATCGGTTTCTGTTTAACTAAGTCTAAATCGGTATCGAACCCAATTCTCTGCGAATCGAACCGGCTCCTCGTTTGAAAACCCTAAATTAAACCCAAATGCGACGGGTTCCTGTCTCTCCCCCCGCTTCCGCTTCACAAACCGGAAAACCTTTTCGGTTCTTCTTCATTTCGAAGTAGGGTTCCTCGGCTCGATCTTCGAACCTCCCCAGTTGAATATCCCGGAAATCGATGCTGAGTTGATAATGGCGGAATCTATTTGCAGAGCTCTTCGAGACGGAGCTTTTGAAGGAGAACATGCACCTACCCTCACAATTAAGGACACTATAAACTTACCTTACGGACCTCACATCTTCAATCATGTCCTCTCTCAACTCTCCTCCAACATCTTGGCGGGAAAATCGCAGTCTAAGTTTGTTCACATCTCCTTTAAACCACCTGTCTTTCACTTGCTTTTTGTGTGTCAAGTCTAACTATGTTTTGCTGCAGAGGTCTGGTGCTTGTTGCTTTGTCTCGGAGTCCGTCTTTCTATTTTGATTTGTTGAAGAGTAGAGGCAACGATGTGGCTTCCTCACACAAATGGTCAGTAAAGTCATGGTTTTGGTGTTTGTTTAATTGAATATTTTGTAAAATTGAGGGTAGAATTATTGTAATTTATGGTATTATAGACGTGTGGCAATGTGTTTGAAAATCTTGGTACAGGCTAAGGGTTCTGGACTGTTATACGGATCCTCTCGGTTGGAAGGACCGGCTTGCAGAATGTGGAAGCATTAACAATTCCTCTGCTGAAGCTTCAAGCACAGTTTGTTTGTTTAAGGATTTGAGAAATATGGACGGGTTATTATCTGCTATTGTTGAACTGGGAAAAGGTATTCTGGCAAACTAATGATGTACTAGGTTAATGTAAAACTCTAAAATTTGGTAGTAGTTGTTCTTATGAGTTCTGCACAACTTAACGGTGGTTTCCAAAAGATTATGAACATAATAACTCACAAGATGAAGACTCTTAATTGTTCATCTCCTTATTGTTGTTGGTCTTTGTCATTGCAGAATTGGTTGGGGAACGAAAAGTGCGTTTCTCTGTTGCCATAGACTTGGTAATCCTACTTTCATAATTCTGAAATTTGCTCAACCGCTAATTTATAAGTTTGCCAGATACTGGAAAAAAATTTATTGCATCTTCTAGGTTTGTAATGGAGTTACAGTTTTGTGAAGTGGAAAGTGCTCTTCAAGATTTTTAATTTTGACATGCAGCCTCATATTTTCCTTACTGATGTTTAATTATCGTAGCTCATCATTGATCATTGATATTAGGATAACAGCTAAGTGTTGGTTTCTGTATTAACATTGTTCATTCATCCCTTTCCTTTCTGAGTGTTCTAATATCCCTCCTTTTTTTAAAAAATATTATTGAGGGGGTGGGGGAGGGAGCCATGTCCTACCAATTTTATGGGGCTTAGGAGCAGCAGATTCTGTTTTCTTCCTTGAATGTAGAAAATTGATTGTGCTATCTTCTATGCATTTATTGTTGATCAGTGGGGATGCTTACTTATCAGTTGTTTGAATAATTGCAAACTTCCTTCCAAGGTGAATTATGTATAGCTTACTTTTATTTGATTTCCTAGTTTAGCAGACACCAAATTTGAAATTGTTCACTTACATCTAAAGCTGTAAGGTAATGTTGTAATCAAGCTTCAGGGCTTTAGTTGCTAATGTAAACTCTGGTGATTCCAGTTTGTTGACATGGATTCTAGTAGCTTGTACAGTTTAATGAATGGTTGATTAATGTACCCTGATTTCCATTCCAAAATTACCTAGACGTGATTCATTCCTCTCATGGAAGGTTCAGCATAATAAAATGTGAATTTAAGCCTTAGAACCATTTTGGATAAGAACGGATGTGAAGAGGTTCAACTTTTGTTGAAATGCTGTTTGAAATTCACTTGATTGAACTAATAGGTTTAGCTTGGAATTTGAATATCAAAGTTGATCTCATCCTTATTGGTTCAAATAATAAAATAAATTAAGGTAGTTTTCATATATGTATTTTACCTACATTGATAAATTAAAGAAAGGTGTTCTGGGTCCAAGGCTTCTACTATGCGAGGATTAGGGAAGACCATTGAGTGTATACCACCTTACCCTTTGTAAAGTGGTCATACCTGTGACCCAATTCTGTGACCTTTTCAATCACAGAGGAGCAATCAAACTCAGGGCTCCCACTCATCTATATTGGTGAAATAATAATTAAAAACTTCTATGTTTTGTATAACTATATTGATTTGTACAAACCTTCCATTACATGATAGAAAAAGGATATTATGTTTCTAAAACCCTTGTGATTCAATATTTCTTAAATGTTATTCCCCATGTTTCCAGGTATCTGACATGCTGAGACATGCAACAATATCTTCAATTGCTGCCATTCTAAGCAACCTTCGGAGCCATGGTATGGATTTTTGATCTGCTAATTCTTTTACCACTCAGAATTACTGCTTGTTATCTTTTCATTGGTACACCACTTGTTATTCTGGAAATTTATAATAATCAGTTTTTAATTGTAAGTAACAAAGATCATTCAATTTGTATTTCTATTATATTTATCAGTTTAACTTGTATGGTTCAATCATAAATGTATAAGAGAAGGCTGGGATTTCTAAGAAAAACAGAAAGCACATGGTAACTAGGATTCCAATAGCCATGCAACATGATTTATGTTTGTCCTGGGTATTCACTTTGCAAGTTTTATGCTACTGCTGTTATGATCCAATATACGAACTAGGAATTAGGCTACAAGAGGCAACATATTTGCTATTGCCTTTTCATTTTTCCCATTCTTTCTACATTACTGTGATTCAACTTTGAATGGATGGTTCCTAGGTAATAATAGCTTGCAACTGTTGGATGGCATGTGTGCCTACTATGCAGTAATATTTCCATATGATGGTTGCATCAGTCATAACTAGTAGCTAGGCCTTTTAAATAGTTCATCTCTTGTGAATAAACAAAATCCATCATATTACTGTGTCATTGGCAAAGGATCCATTTAATTTTTTGCTAATGAATGAATAACTTGCATTATCCTCTTTTTTTGTGAAAATTTCTTAAAACACTACTTTTTAGATTTGGTGAAATTAAAATAAATGTATTTTCTCTTTTTATTCTGCTCTATAAATATATATGAGTTCTATTTGACAGGTGAATCCAACTTTATTTATTTGATAGATCTTATTTTTTCCGCCGTTTTTTTTTTCTGGTTGCAGACCAAGTTTCTTGTGCATTTTGGTTATTACATTCGGACCTTCACGACATCAGGGTGACTTCGGTTCTTGAATATATGTCCTCTATGATTGCAAATATAGAACCAATAACTCAATCATTGAATGGACAGCAAGGCAATTCCGATGACTTTGCTATGCTTGATCAGAATTCTAAGAAAGGGAAGCTTCATGTTCGCTTAAAGCGTAGCAGAAATGGACGTGTCAGGCTTGTGGTGACCACCCTCTCTCAATCTCTCTATAGATTTCTCTGATGGCATCTGTGTGTGGGTGAAACATGGTGATTTATAAGCTATACGTTTTCTAACATTATTGTATAACTTTTGTTAGTGTGAAGAGTTCCGTATTGAGCAATCGAGCATTAAATTTACTCATGTCTCTGGTGATGGTGGAGCTATTACTCAGAGTCTTGTGCCTAAGGTTAGTTGCGAGTGGCTTTATATTGATTAAATGTTGCTGCTTTTTTCTCTCTTTCACTGAAGTATTTCCTCATATACACGGTCCCATAGAAGCAACAGTAGATAATCATCAGGATGTAAGCTAATATTTAAAATTTTGAGGACATATAGAGAACATACTAAATTTTGATTCTGCAAGGGTAGAGGAAAACATACTAGATGTTGATTCAACAGAGAACCTGCTGAGCATACTTGAGGAAACATATCTTATAACAGTTAGGAGTGAGTGCTTCTCTTGGCAGGTGCAATTTAATCTACAGCTTTCAGAGAAGGAAAGAATTGAACGGTCAAGAGTAGTACTTCCATTTGAGCACCAAGGTATATTGTTGTTGTTATTTATGCTTTATCTGCCTTTCAGCCTTAGATACTATCTCGCTGATCCATTAGTGATAGTTAACTACTGACTTCTGTGCTTGCTTCAGGAAATGGTAAACCGATCGAAATCTATGATGGTAGGCGGTCTCCCAACGAGAATAAAATTGAGACAACCTCAAATTCTACAGAGAAATTGCACACGACCGGGGGTTCTGGCAAGGGTGAGATTATCTATTTTCGCGATTCAGATGATGAGATGCCCGATTCCGACGAGGACCCAGATGATGATTTGGATATATGACGGTCACCACCATTCTGCCGGTACTTGGTGTGTGAATGCCACTTACCTAAATGCCAAAAATTGTTAATGAGCATGCTGGATTTTGGCCGTTCCTACATTGGAATTTTCCAGTGGACCAGAAGTTCATGATGCTCGAGTTGTATGACTGGGAAACAATCTTGCTTAAGATATCCAGATTGATGGCACTTTCTGGGTGTTTCTTTTGAGTCGAGATCTGAGTTTGTCTCCTTTCTCGTGTTCTTTCTACCTTTTGGAAGAAAAAGCTGGTTCCATTAATGGAACTTAAAGTTAACACTGTACCATTTATGTAATTAAAGCTTTTCTTTTCTTTTTTATTTCAAGTAGTTTGAAAAGTAGATTATAATATTCAACTTGAACAAGTCATGACGTAAGACATCTAACGGAGTTCACTGGAGGAAAAGTGTTTTTATCCTGTGCTAACTATTTAACCGTTGGCTTGTAGTGAAAATATCAGACCAGGTTCAGCCCTTCCATCTCCTCAATGTTTGATTTGGGATGATCAATTTTTGTTGCCTCTTGGGTTTATCTATTTATCTTATAATATAACAATTTTATAAAGTTGGAATATTATAATATTCCCACTGATGGCCTTCTAGCCAGAAAGCTAAGACTAAGAAGCTTGAAAGTGACAGTATTCTGGCTTTCGGGAAGTAGAATACTTAAGCCCAAAGGAGCTAGATTTCCAAATACTTGTTAAATGAGGGTTCATTTATGATTTAGTTTGTTAAATAAATAAGTCACTTATAAGTTCAATGTTATCACTCATAATAAATGAGGCAAACTTTGAGCTAAGCTGTGAACATGTTTGTAAATTATTAAATTGGAGTTATTTATAAAATTATTCAATATTTGCAAATAGTTTCACAAACAAGTTTATAATAGTTTGTATGACTAGGTATAAACATGTTGATGTTTAATGTTTTTTAATTGAATTATTTTAAATTTTAAAATGACAATATTTAACAAGATTAACTTGTTAAAAGTTAGAGCTGGATTAAGACTAAGCCTAAATTCAAATACAAACAAGCTGACTTTGAGCTCAATGAATGGTGTTCAAGCTTAGCTTGACTGAAAGTGGGCCTGGGTTTGAGCTCAAATTCAGCCTAGATTAAGAAAATATCTGTAAATATTTTTGTAAAATTAAAAATTATAGATTAAAGTAAAAATGAGTAAAAGTGAATTGTAATTGAAAGTTGAGTGTATTTATAAAATATGTTATAAAGTTTTTGAAAATAGTAATATTAGTGTTTTGGACATAACTTTTATAATATGTTTTAGGGGAATAAAAAAATTGGAAAAAATTTAGAAAATAAAAAAAATTCCATAATTTAATTTGGGTTTAAGAAAAAAATTAGGAAAAAAATATTCAAAACACTTGTAGCTAGAAGTACTCATTCTCCCTGCTTTTAAAAATTACTTATGATTTTACTTTTTCTTATTTGAAGAGAAATAGAATTTAAAACACCTCAAAAGTGATTTTTTGTATTGAAAATTCAAAATCGCTTTGAAATAAGACATTGCAAACATCCTTTAAGCAAGTTAAAAGCTTGTCGGTATGAGACTTGACCTGACTAGTTTGCTACCATGTGCCAAATAAATTGTTTTCTGAAATCTTTTGAGAGAAAATTTTACACTTAGAATACAACATAAAGTTATTTTTAGAATTTCTAAAAATATATATTGAGAAAAAATAAAAATTATATGACAATATCAAACTTTTCAAGGCAAATTAATATTAATATTGATAATTTTTATTGAAATATGTATTTGAATAATTATTTATCAAAATAGGTAAATTATTGTACTGGTTGAGAAATTGGCTCCTCAAGCCCAATTTATATTTTTAAATTGGCTCCTCTGGAGTCTATTTTTGAGAGGGCCAAACATGCAGTGGCTATGTTAGCCAAATAGAGAAGGAAGGGGAAGGAGGTTGGCGGCCAGCTAGGGTGGAGGTTGAGGGAGGAGGAAATCTGGAGGGTCAAGATGGAGATCGGGTTGGCCAGCATGGAAGTGTGGGGATCAGTTATCAGTTGGTTGAGATGGACGCTAATGAGGTACGAAATCAAAGCTTGTGGTAGGTTGGATGGGTTGCAAGTAAAATAGAGAGGAAGAAAAGGCAAAGCAGCTGTGATGATCTAGGCAGGAGGCGACAACCTAGGTAGCGATGAGTGATAATCTAGGCAAGAGGTTGAGTGAAAACAAGGAGATCGGACGGGAAAAAAGGAGGCTGGGCAACAGTCAATAGAGGATGGAGAGGAAATGGGAAATTGGGTGGCAAGTGAGGGTCAATTAGAGTTCTAGATGGACGATTGGTCCACTGCCCCTTTTCCTCCTTCCTTAGCCTCTGCCCTTGCCCATCACCCCTCTTCCTCCTCCCTCGACCTCTACCCTTGCCGATCACCAACTTCCTCCCCTTCCTTCTCTTTTGCTTGGCTGACGAGGCTAGATTCTATTTGGCCCTCTCGAAAATCAGCTCCTTCGCAAGAGAAATCAATCCCCAAGGAGCCAATTTCTAAGAACAAATTGGGTTTTGAAGACCCTATTTCTTTTTTAAAATCGGCTCTTTTGAACTTTATTTTATTTTTTCAGAAAATATACTTTGAAAAGCCAATTGCTTAATGGCTACATTATTTCACCTATTTTGTTAAATTATTATTCAAAGACCTATGTCAGAAAAAATAAAATTTTAATATAAATATAAATTTGCCAACCATTCAGCAGCCTTTAGTTATTTCACAAAATCACTTGAAGTAAAAACCAAAAACGAAAGTCAACAATGTCCCTGGCAAAACTAAAGGAAGTTGATGATGGTTCTTGTTGTGGTGGTCCTGTCCTCGATTCTAACACCAAATTTCTCTTTTTAAAAACGATTCTGGATAGCATGTTCTATAGTTTTGTTTACTCCACCAATGCTTGTTGCAAAGTAGACATTAGGGAGAGAAATATTGCAATAACATTTTTAATTCCAAAACTACCCCTTCAAATGCAAAAATGTATCTATGGCCATTGGGTGGGGTTTCAAGATTTTTGTTGCGGGTCATTTTAGGTATAGGCCTCCTATATTTTAACTCTAACCAAATTTAATTGAACTAGGGTTCTCCTACATGTCATTTGACTTAAAAGATGTTATATTTCATAATTTGATGATTTTTTACAATAACTTAACGATATAAAATTTTTGTCATATCAATAAGATATTAAAATAAAATATTATAAAAATTTGTTTTGAATTATTCGAGTTGATTCCAATGAAACTCATTTGGTGTATAAAATTTTTTTAGGTCCAAATTAAAAATATACAACTTACTACTTAGAATTGGAATACTGTCTGTAAAAAAAAAATGCAAACATATGTTTATTAGAGATGATGGAAAATATAAACACTCAATCTTTATTCCATGAACTTGAATGATCTGCAAAGGGTCCTATTTATAGGAAAACTAATCCTAGATCTAATAGGAATTATAATCCTAGTAAAACTCTAATTCCTCTAAAGATAATTACATAGAAATTAAATCCTAATCTAAAATAAATACAAGGAATTATCTTTAACACCCTCCCCTAAACTGATAACTACGGAAATCAGTTTAGAGAGATGTCCTTAACTGAAATCATCCCGAGTCTTGATCGAAGCTTCACAAACACATCTTGTTTGAGGGGTTTGGTCATAATATCTGCAACTTGTTCACCACTTGGACAAAACTCAAGGTTGATCACACCACTATTGTATTGATCACGTAGAAAGTGATAACGAACATCTATGTGTTTGCTTCTCCCATGTAACACTGGATTCTTGGAAATCTTGATTGCTGAAGCATTATCACAAAAGATAATAGTTGGTCCCGCCTGCTTGCTTTGAAGCATTTCCATCAACTTCCTTAACCAGATAGCTTGACAAGAACATGTTGTTGCAGCAACGTACTCAGCTTCTGTAGAAGATAAAGTAACTATCTGTTGTTTCTTTGATGACCAAGAGATTGCTCCAGAACTCATCATGAATACATAACCTGATGTACTCTTTCTGTCATCAATATCTCCAGCATAATCACTATCTGTAAAGCCAAGAAGCAAATCTTCATTATCTCCTTTCTGATAAAGGATTCCAAAGTCAACTGTACCTTTCAAGTATCGCAGAATCCTTTTGACAACTGAGAGATGATTTTCAGATGGATTTTCCATATACCGGCTTATTAAACTGACACTATACATAATGTCTGGTCTTGTTGCGGTTAAGTACATCAAGCATCCAACCATCTGTTTGTAGACTGTGGGATTCACCTTCTTCCCTTCATCATCTCTTTTGAGCTTGAGACCATATTCAGTGGGTGTGCTAACAGGATTGCAATCCTTCATCTGGAATCTATCCAAAATCTCAAGAACATATTTTCTTTGTGAAACAAAGATTCCAAGTGATGACTGAGAAACCTCAATACCAAGGAAGTAATGCATCAAATCTAGGTCTGACATTTCAAATTCTGACATCATATTCTCTTTGAATTCAGCAAGCATACCTTTGTCATTCCCAGTGTAGATGAGGTCATCCACGTACAGACATACCATAAGTATACTTCCATTGGTATGAGTCTTTGTGAAGAGAGTATGTTCATAAGGGCACTTCTGGAAACCTGCTCGGGTGAAATAAGCTTCAATACGACTGTACCAAGCCCGTGGGGCTTGTTTTAAGCCATATAGAGCTTTTCTGAGCTTGTAGACTTTATGCTTATTGCCATGCTTGGCATATCCAAGAGGTTGATCAACATATACCTCTTCTTGTAGGTCTCCATGCAGGAAGGCTGATTTTACATCCAGCTGATAGATAGGCCATGACTTCTGTGCAGCCATGGATAATACCAGTCGGATAGTGTCAAGGCGAGCAACTGGAGCAAACACCTCCTTGTAGTCAACTCCATATTCCTGCTTATACCCTTTTACAACAAGTCGGGCCTTGTGCTTGTTGATGCTGCCATCCTTATTTAGTT